CATATTTTCATTCTGTCTTAAAATAAACACACATCACGCTTCTCACAGAGTCAAGCTCTTTCAAATTTAACTATAAAATAATATCAATATTTGTATCTTAAAATAGTTTATTATAAATATATAATGCACAACTAATGTAATAATGCTTATTGCACATAATAAATATTAGTATTATTGTGTATATATATTTGATCAAACTTAAAAATATTTGACTCCTTGATTAATAAGGTATGTACTTATTTTAGGATGGACGAAGTAACAAATAGTGAGACTGAGTAAACGATAAAAAGGTATTCCGTTTCAAATTATAAGACATTTTAGCTTTTTTAGATTCATAACTTTTACTATGCACCTAGATATATTATGTCTAGATACATAGTAAAAGATATAAATATAGAATTATCAAAACATCTTATAATGTGACACAGTAGGAATTAATAGTCTATCGACAAAGTCACGTGGATCACGTCACGTTGCACAAGCATATGTATAGAAGCTGAGATTATACAAGTATAGGCTACAACTCGAGCATTAAGTGAAACGATGCCACAAGGTTGAACGTGTCGCAAATTAATCCGGCAACGTGCCTGACAGCCAAACCAACGCTGCCTTTAGATTCCTGGGAGGGCCCCAAGGATCCGAGGGCCCAGTGCGAGGGCACTGCTCGACCCCCGCCAGGACCGGGCCTGTCTCCTCCACCCCTGCATCCTCCTCCACCTGTACATCCTCCTCCTCAGAGGATGAGTGAGCGGAAGGTAACTCATACAACGACGAAGGTATAGGCGACGGTGGCCTCATCTTGTCTCCGTCCTTCCCTCGACTCTTGGGTCTACCCCGAGGTCTCTTCCCAGACCCCTCAGCTACATCGGACCCTTTACGCGTCGCTGTCGCTTTTGAGTAAAGCGACGTTATCCTCTTCATATCACCCACCATTGTTCAGTCACCTATAATTAAAAAGAGTAAACCAATTAACACAGATAATACATCAAAATAGATGCAAAATAAACAAAACATACTTAGAAAATAACATGGTCTGATAAATAATAGATTAATTAGCACGGATCATACATGTATTAGAAATAATCACCATGATCGGGATTAGCTAGATCATAAGTCTCATCATCACTATCACGCATGTCGATATAATCATCCCCGTGCTCCGAAGGAGGAATGTCGTCATCACCGTCATTGCTTAGATGTAATCGCCGAAGTAATTCTAAGTCCTTGACATTCTGAACCTCGTCTCCGGCATCCTCGTCAGCGCCACTTTCATTGTCTACTTTCATACCCTGAGCTTCGGTTAAGTCTATCTCAAAACTCCCTTCGAGCCCATCTTCTTGAAAGAACTCTCCGTCATATGTGTTGGGGTCTATGTTGTAATCTTGATTGTTTGGGACAGATAGTTTACCGTGTGGCGATACCTTGTACACAACATGAATATCATTTTTCTACTCATTTTATTCTATTATTTGAATCACTTGCAGTTTAAATTTGACTTATACCAAAAAATTCCTTGAAATGCAATAAATTAATTAAATATAGCAAACAGATCCAGAAATATACCAAATCTTAACATGGAGTACCACATGTTGTATGTGGAGAGTAGAAAAAGTTTCAAGGTCAGAAGAGAAAAAAAAACTTATTATTTCATGCACTTATAGCTCAAATTCAATTTATAACGATTAAAAGTACATGCGTCGCGTCGTGATATATATACCTCTCAAACCCTTTTCTCTCTCGTTTCAGATCCGGATTGACCGGTTCCCAGGCGAATGGGGGAAGCGGCGGCGGCGGCAGCCCCCTTCCCTCACGCGTCGGCGCCACCCGAGGCGTTGTCCCCGGCGGCAACACGCGACTTGCCCCCGCCGCAGGCGTCCCCCCGGTGTGGTGGCGCGGCTACCCCCTGCTTGTTGGGGCGGCGGTGGCAGGCACCATGCCCTCTTGCACCAACGGTGGCGTCCGTCCGTCCCCAACCGGCGGCGCGCGGCCATCCCTTCCCCGAGCGGCCACCGCTTCCCCGACCGGCGGCGCGACCTTCTCTATGGTGGATCTGCACGCGGCCACCCCTTCCCCGACCAGCAGCGGTGGCGACAACTCCTTCGCGCGACCGGCATCCTCCGTGGCAGGGCCGCGGCGGCGACGCGCTCCCCCTACCTCGTCAGCGACGGCGGCGCCCATCTCCCTCCAGCGGCACTCTCTCTCCCACCGATGGCGGCGGCGGCGGGCACCATGCCCTCGTGGACTGCGAGCAGGGGCTTGTCCTACCGCTGGCTAGGGCCTCCTCTGGCGGATTCGGATGACTTCTTAGATCCGGTTTGATGGATGCACCACGTTTGGCCAAACAACGGATCCGTGTGGAGGAGCATCGATGGCAGGTCCCTCCTCGCAGCGAGCAGCAACGGTACGTATTGGTTGAACGAGTGATATATTTGCCGCTAGGATCCTCGGATGGCAGCTCCATATGCCTTGCTCACCTACATCCGAACGAGCGCTACTAATGGTCAGAATAGGCGACATGTGACAGTAACATTAAATGCTTGCATATGGCTGCAGCACTACATTAGTAGTATATTAGATATATACGGTTACGGTTGAATGTTTACGATTGCGGCCACTGGATTGGTGCTGCTTTTGAGTATCTTTCGTGGAGAAGCTTTGCACTGGCGGCACAAGTGAAGAAGCCAGCAATTTGTGGTATCATTTTGTAGTATATGGTTGTATTATATGATTGTTCTCATTGAGTCTTGGAACTCTCTGAATTTTCATTAGATCTACTGTTATATTATTTATCGTTTGTTAGTAGTAATTTTCAATGTTTTCTTTTCAATGATTTACTACTGACTCGTTTCCTGATTATAAGAAAATTACTTCTAGAGAAAGGAGCTACATAAGAAATTACTACTAGTAGAGAAATGAATTCAATAAAAGTAATTTTAGGCTGTGTTTAGTTGTAGGAATTTGGATTTTGGGGCTACTGTAGCACGTTCGTTTTTATTTGGTAAATAGTGTTCAAACATGGACTAATTAGGCTCAAAACGTTATTATCTCTGCAATTACCCCCCACCAAACTGTGCTAATTAGTTTTTCTTTTTCCTGCTACATTTAATACCATCTCTGTTGTAATCACTCTACATTCTCCCGTGATCATTGTAGTAATTTTTTGGAAGTTGGGGTGGAACTAAACAAGGGCTTAGGGTGTTTTTCTTTCTTTCATATTCATACATACGGGTACAGTCCTCTGCTACTACAATTGCTAATTCTTCTACTACTATGCCAACTATTATTATTATTATCACTGCAATTACCCCCAATACTGCTATTACTACTAATGTTGCTGCCAATCCTGCTACTACTACCATCGCTGTTGTAATCACTCTACTGCCTCCCGTCCTCATTTTTTAATTTCAGAATTGTTTGTCCTCTCATGAGTTTTGTTCCGTGTTTTTTACTGAAATGTGAGTCCCGATTTTTAATTTAATGTGATTACTGACTAGTGCCTTTCTTGATGATCTGTATTTTCAGTCAGCCAAAACATCAGAGGCCAGAGCTGCTCCCAAAACTGGCGTGCTGCAGTCTGGTGATGCAGACAAGCATGGCATAGTGATTGTTACGTTACAAGCCGGCACACCTAGGCCACGTTTAGTTCCCCCAATTCCAGAATTTGACACTATGCAAAAAGAAGATTCCTCGTCACATCAAACTTGCGGTACATGCATGAAGTACTAAATATTGACGAAATTAAAAACTAATTGTATAGTTTGGTTGTACTTTGCGAGACGAACGTTTTGAGCCTAATTAGTCAACGATTGGACAATTATTACCAAATAAAAACAAAACAGTACCGCCTGAATTTCGACGGCGCCGATTCGGTGACCGAACTAAACGAGCCCCTAGATGCATGCTTCTCAGAAACTAGCTAGCATGTTCATTTTTCCTTGTTAACTTGTAAACGTCCAGAAGAATATTGTAAACTAGCTAGCATGTTGAGTACTACTCAAGATTTACTACTAATGATTCCAGGTTTAAAGAATACTTCTGAATTAGTACCGCATGTTTCGGTTTACTACTAAAGTGTTCAGTACTATTCAAGATTTAGGACTTGTTTAAATCCACGGCGTAACATTTTTTTTGGGTGTCACATCAGGTGCCATCTCGGGTGTTGTTCGGATACTAATAACAAAATAAATTACAGAATCTATCAGTAATCCACAAGACGAATTTATTAAGTCTAATTAATCTATCATTGGTACATATGTTACTGTAGCACGCTTAAAACATAGTCTAATTATAGTCTAATTAGTGTTATTTGATAATTAGTGTCTAATCATAGTCTAATTAGGCTTAAAAGATTCATCTCGTGGATTTCGTCTAAACTATGTAATTAGTTTTATTTTTTATTTATATTTAATGCTTTATGCATACGTCTAAAGATTCGATGTAACAAAAAATCTTAAAAAATTTGATATTTTGGGTGCAACTAAGCAGGGCCACAGGGGAAGAAGGCAACACTCTTTTCAGGGAACATCTCCAGCTGCTGATCTGACACCATGTCAGGCAGATTTCACTTTTTTCGCAAAGGAATTTACGGTCGCGGGTCCCTTGCCCTCTGCTTTTACGGTTGAGATGGGCCTGGCCGTCTCAAGGGGAAGCAAAATTAAGGTTGGTTATTCTGCAGTGTGGCCACATAATAGCTTATTCTGTAGTTATTTTGATTTACGATAATATTTGTATTAATTTATGATAACATGAATATGTATTTACGATACTCGTGTTACTACAACTTATGATGATATTTACCATAATGTTATAGTAATCACTTAGTAAGGAGTTACTGTAATCTTATAAATTAGAATAGTAATTATATATAATATATATATATATATATATATATATATATATATATATATATATATATATATATATATATATATATATATATAGTTATACTCGTGTCGTGTACGTCTTGGATCGATGTTCAATCTTGCAGACCGACAGAACGCATGGCCAATCCGGTGAGCATCGTGCAGCCGATCATAGACTTGGCGCTGAAGATAAAGGAGGCGGTGGAGACGTTTCGGCACAACCGGGAGGACTGCCGCAAGATCGGCGAGCTCGTGGCCACGGTGCGCGCCGTCGCAGAGAGCCTGCGGAAGAGCATGGAGGAGGAGGAGGACGGCGGCGTCGGCGCGTTGGTGGGTGGCGCGCTCAAGGCTCTGAAGCAGGCCCTGGAACGCGCCTGGGATTTCGTCGTCGCCTGCCAGAGGAAGAACGCCGTGCTCCGTGCCCTGGAGGCCGATGCCGTCGCCGAGAAGCTGCGCCGGGTCTGCCTCGACGTCTCGCTGAACCTCAGCGCGGTGGTGCTCGCCAACGGCGCCTATAACACCTCCAAGCTGGCCGACATCAACGGAATCGTTGCCGCCCTACGTGCAGACGTCGCCTACAACACCTGGATGCTCGCCAAAATTATGGAGATTGTTGCTGCTCTTCCGGATGCTCACCTGCATCTGCGACAACAGGTGTGTGTCGAACTATTTTGCCGTTGGCCATACAATAACACTTATTCTGTGACCTTACGATATATATCTATCGTACTTGAATTTATTTGTAATTTATTTTTCTATTAATTTTAGGTGGCAAGATTGCTCCAGATTTTCAGTTATTCAACTGATGACGATGCTAGTTATTATCAAAATGAAAGTATAAGGGAGACAAAGAAAACAGATGACCATGCTAGTTACTATCAAAAATGAAAGTACAAGGGAGACCAAGAAAACAGGCCCGTTCGGCTTACCTCATATTCAGTTTGTTCGGCTTCTTTTTTCAGCCGGAACAGTATTTTTCTCTCACAACAATTCAGCCAAAACAGTGTTTTTCAGCCAAAATTCTACCAGCCGAACAGGGCCACAAGGGTCGAGATGACGACTAGAGAGGGGGGTAAATAGTCGTTTCTAAAACTTAATCGCGTCGACTAACCGAAACACGTGCGGAATTAAAACTATCGGTCTAGCAAAGACTACACCCCTCTATCTATGTTCTCTAGCACCTTGCAAAGATTCTAATTAAGCAACAAAGGTGCCGGGCTAACTAGAGCTCACCTAACCAATTCTAGGAGCAAGGTCAAACAAACCTATGCCACTAGTATTTCAAGCAATGATGGAGCTCCTACACATGCTAGTAAGCAAAAGCACAAAGCCAACTAAGCTCACTGGCAATGCTCAACAACAAGTCAACCAATGCCAAATTAGAGAGCGCAAATACTTAGCTACATAAACTAAACAAAGTGATTAACAAGATTACACAAACCAAATTAGCCACGCAAGGGAGCTACTTCTATGCTACACAAGCAAGAAGGTAACTAGTGAGCTACACAAGCTAACTAATTACAAGAGCAACTACACAAGCATAATGTATATAAAAGTAATCACAAGCTTGTGTAAGGGGATTACAAACCAACGGGAGGAACAAGGTTGACACGGTGATTTTCTCCTAAGGTTCACGTGTTTGCCAACACGCTACGTTCCCATTGTGTCGACCGCTCACTTGATGGTTCGGCGGCTAATTGCCATCACCCGCCAAGCCCGCACGTCGGGCACCGCAAGAATCTACCTCGAAAGTGAGGGTAGCTCAATGACACGCTCAACTAGAGTTGCTCTTCGTGACTCCCGCGGGGCGAGCACAATGCTCCTCACAAAGCTCTTCTCCGGAGCACCGCACAAGCTTCTTGCGGGCTTCGACGGAGACCACCAACAAGCCATCTAGGAGGTGGCAACCTCCAAGAGTAACAAGCACCACCGGCTTGCAACTCGATCACCTAGTGCCACTCGATGCAATCTCACAATGCAACGCACTAGAATCACACTCATTCGCAATCGATTCGCACTCTTGCAAGCACAAGTGAGTTAGAGGGCATCCAAACACTCCTACACAAGACACATAGGCATGATGGTGCTCTACAACCAGCCCAAGGCCGGCCACACACTCCTTTTATAACCCCAAGGGCTAAAATAGCCATTACACCTTCACTGGGCAAAACGCGTACTGACCGGATGCGCAGGTCATAACGACAGGATGCGCAGGTCGTAGAGTCCGGTCGCTAGGATGACGCCACACGTCCCCTCCTTTCGAAGCCGACCGTTGGGCTTCAATGCGGCTAGCTCCCGCGTGCACATACTCTTGACCAGACGCGCCTAGGTCCAATGACCGGATGCGCCAATGCTGAGTCCGGTTACCAACACATTTCTACACAACTAACCGGACTCGTCTTTCTCCTATGACCGGACTCGACTCTCTCAGCGTCCGGTCACTTATAGAGTCGTTTTTCAGCGACCGAACGCGTCTTCGGTCATCACTGATCGGACTCTCCGTGCGTCCGGTCGCTTCTAGACATGCTAAAAACACTGACCGAACGCTGTGACCGAACTCGCAGGTGCTGAAAACTCTTAGCTCCGAACTCCGATTTCGATGATCTTGGACATTTTGGAAAACTTACTCAGAGGGCTACACATCCCACATGCATACTTGACCCAAATCACAATGGATCAAAATAGTATTCTAATCCAAGGACCATCCTATAGTTCGGAGTACACCAAAAAACCTTTTTCTCTTCTCTAAGTTGATTCACAACAACTCTAACTTCTTCTCCTTTGCAAATATGCCAACACCACCAAGTGTGCACCATCATGTGTATGTGTGTTAGCTTTTCACAAATATTTTTTAAAGGCTTAGTCACTCAACTTGCCATGCCACTCGATCCTAGCGATGATGCAAAGTTAGATCACTCGAGTAGCACTAGATGACGATATGCAAACAAGTTTGCCCCTCTTGATAGTACGGTCATCTATCCTAAACCCGGTCATCAACTTCTCTACATATCTATGACCGGTGAAATGAAATGCCCTAGGTTATACCTTTGCCTTGCGCATTCCATTCCATCTCCTCCAATGTCGATGCAACACATGCACCAACATGATCAACAATGATATGATCCACTTCATATCATCATGTGATTATATTGGTTCATCGATCTTGACTTCACTTGCTTTTCACCGTTGCCTTCGTCCATCGGCGCCAAGTCTTACTCAAGCTTCACCGCCATGTGGTCCATCACTCCAAAGCCTCCGACTTACCCTTCACGCTTGCAACCGGTCCATCAAGCTAGGTCTTGTCTTGATCTTCTCCACCTTGATCACATGACTCAATGTCATGTCTCATGTGCATAAGCTCCTTTATCATCACATGTGTGAGCTTTGCAACATCTCCAAACCATTTTCACCTTCACGGCATATGTTGCTCACACACATGTACTTGTGGACTAATCACCTGTGTATCTCACATAAACACAATTAGTCCACCTATGGTTGTCACTCAATTACCAAAACCACACAAGTACCTTTCAATCTCCCCTTTTTGGTAATTGATGACAACTCTACAAAGATATGAAAATTAAGTTCTTTTGGATTCATGTTGCTTGCCCAAGCAATTTTACCATGTGTAAATAATTTTGGACAAATAACAGAAACCCGAAACGGTAGTATTAGCTCCCCCTACATATGTGCTAGAGTGTTTGGTTTGAAGCTCGCACATATGCATAGATTGAAATTGTGGGAGAGTAATTACTACCAAATGATGCTAAGGTGTATAGAGTAAACCTTTGAAGCGTGACGCCAATCAGAGTTGCACCTTTAAGTTCATACTTAGCACCATGGTTAGCTAGATATCACTTGAAAATAAAATCACAATATAACTTGTGAGATCAACATTAAAAGCAAGGTACTAGCATTACTTGAAAAGCATACTAAGTGTCTAGCTATCATCCTATGCATGCTAGTTTTCATTTCATCAATCAAATTCTACAACTAGCATACACCACACAAGTATGCATATTGAATTTAAAAAATTTATGCAATGCAAGCAAGCACATGACTATGCACATATTAAATGCAACCAATCAAAGTACATGAGCTTGCTCCCCTTATTTGTGTGCTTCTCTTGTCTAAGAATATTTATCCATCTCTTTTCTTCAATGTTGCTCCCTCTTTGTCCATGTCCATGTCCAACCTCTACTTCTTTGTTTCAATTTCTCCTAAAGCTTTCATATTTTATCTCTCCCCCTTGTATAATCTCAATCTTAAAGCTTTCATATCTTTGTATAATCTCTCCCCTTTGTCATCAATTTCCATAAAAGGTGAGATATGCATTTGGGGTAGATGGTTGATACTTGAATCTTACATTTTTTATGGACATCACTTGATTGTTGGAATGACACCACTTGTAGATACCACTTGTAACTTGTACCACTTGTATCTTGTGTAGGGCTTCTTGAGATACCACACATAGGAGCTTTGATCTTGATATCAATTTGTGTGACACCTCCCCCTATGTGATAGCATGGGTCATCCATTTGATACACTTGAGCTCTTATAGGTGAGGGATGCATTCTTCATTTGATGATCACTTAAAGTTGAGGATCACTTGTGGAACCATCGTCTTGCATGATTGATACCATGTGTAGATGTGATACCACTTGAAAGAATCTTCTAGTATAGAACCACTTGTTGGATTTTTCAATAAAAACTATTTCTTGAACATTTGCTATCTTCATGAGTGTCACTTATAGGATATTACTTGTGAGTTGATCTAGACATCACTTGTGAATTTGATAAAATACTTGAGTCTAGATACCATTTAAAACAAACAAACTAGATATCCATTTGCATTGTTGTCTTGTGCTTGTACTCTTGTTATTGATCATGAGCATCTAAGTTGACTTGAACTAAATTGATTTGCTTAAGCTTCCAAGTCCGATTTGAACCAATGACAAGCTTCTTCACACCTCTTACAAGGGTTATCTTGCTAATGTTGTACTTGTCACTTGTTGGCAATCCAAATAAAATCAAGTACTTGGGTTTACTTAGCTTTTGAACAAATTCATATACTAACCACTAGATCAATTAATCATTCAAGCACTAGTGGTAGGCTATGAATGTAAACATTTCATTTGTTATGCATGATCCTATGAAGTATGTACTATATGCACTAACCGCACACTAGTAAGGGATGAAATGATCATGCACATTACAATGATACATTTGCTATGTTGGAGTAGAAGATAGTCATATAGATTCCAATTTATTACTCCAATAGAAATGTGAAGTCCAATTATAAGCTTGGTGAAGACCAATAAATACCATTTTAAATTCCATTCTTCACCCACATGAAATGAATACCACTTATGATCAAGTGCACTTTCTTGTTGTGGTTGGCTTGCTTCATCTTTTGATCAATGCTTGGATAAGAGCATCAACGTGAGAATACCACTTGAAATATCATGATTAGCTCTTTTTGGGTGTTGCTTGCTTTTCTTGATCAATCCTTTTGATTGCTTCAACTAAGCATCTCAAATGTTTTTCGGATCACCACTTCCATATTAGTCTTCCAAGTACCACACTTGGTTTACCTACTTATAGGTGGCAAGCCCCTACACTAGGGAGAAGTGACCTCTCTCCCAGAACCATTCTTGATACTAACTTGAAATGACTTGATTGATTGATCCAAATGATGGACTTAACTTGATGGGTAGCCTTGATTCCTTCTTTAAGTCCTTTTCTTTCTACTTATTTAAGTTCTTTTTCTTTGTACCAAATGATTTTCAATAGTCAGTGGAACTTAAACTTTGTCTTCATCTTAAGTTTGATCTTGATCTTCCAATTTGAGTACCGAATGTGTGCAAAGTACACTCCACAATTAAATG